AGGCTGTATGTGGTGGCCCATACCTCTAATCTCAGCTACTCAGGAGGTGAGATCTGGGGGATTGCAGTTTGAGATCAGTCCAGGGGGAAAAAAGTTAGGGAGACCCCACCTCAACAAAAGAACTGGGTGTGGTGGGCTCCCAGCTACATGGGAGGTATAAAGTAGGAAGGCAGTCTAGGTCAGCCCATGAAAAAGTTCGAGACTCTATCTGAAGGGTAACTAAAGCAAAAAGGGTGGCACACGTGTCTCTAGTGGTACAGCATCTGCCTAACAAGCGTGATGCCCTGTGTTCAAACCCAAGTACTGCAAAAAAAATAAGTAATAACAGAAAAAAACAAATGCACGAATTAAGAAAACAGTAATGGACAGGATTGGCCAAAAAAAAAAAAAAACGTGCATGACTCACTAGTAATCAATTAAATACATACTGAAACCTATAATGGAGGGAGGGAAATACGAACTCATAGTTGATGGCTAAAGGAATTCACAGTTGGTACAATGGAGGAAAAACCTGGCAAGAGGGCAAGGAACTGACAGTATATAATCAGCAATTCCACTCCTAGACAACATCTCACAGAGATTCCGAACTCTTTAGAAGAATAAGAAGATACACAAAGCAGAACTCAACATAGGACTTTTATTACAATGAAAAACTGTTACATCCTAATCACTGGTTAATAGAATACTCAGTCTGTGTAGTACACACATCCAGGACCAGGCTAAGATCTTTTCCAGACCATTCAAGCAGACAGCTACACTCAGAGCATGAGAGCTACAAAGAAAAGCATCCGACTCAACCCCCTCCCAGCACAACCACTCACCATGTCCAAATGATGTCCATGAAGACCCTTGTGTGGGTATGGGAGCATCCGCCCATGTGGTTCATATGGCAAAGTGTTGACGGGAATTGGAAGTGAGAATTCCAGAATGAAAAGTTTGAGATACACTCAGTCAAATAAAAACTTCTGTACTACATCTTTTGACAAGCTGATAAAATGTACTTGGAATTCCTCTAAAGTACATTTTCTTTCCTGGCTTCATTTGCACTTTCCCAAGCAATCTTTTTTTCAAATATCATCAAGAACTAGGATTGCCTGAAATGAACTTGAGAACATTGGGTTTATGTTGTGTGAAATGAGGTCTGGAGACATTTGGTGCTTAGAAAAAGAAACACACTAGCCTACAAAGACTGGTCTCATACTAAACTCTAAAAGACCTTACTTAGAATTGTTTAGAACACAGACTTTGTCAACTGCTCTAGTTGTTGCTCTACAGGCATTATCTTTGTCCAGTTTTTTAATGAGGATTATTTGAACTGCAGAATTAATTGGGAAAATCTTAGTAAGAATTATCTATTCCCTAAAGCTTTACCTGTACAACTACCAGACTTTTTTCCTAAACAGGGAGTTCACACACATACATTTTTTTAGTGTATTTGAGTTCTACTGTATCAAGTCAGCTTTACACAGAAAATATAATGTATATTTTTACATGCATTGAAATGAACATATATGTATGTGATATATAACATTACCTTATAATTTTAAAATAAAACTCCTTGGTAATCTGCAGTTGTGTAACCTTCATCACTGAAAGCTCTCTGTTGTAATATCTTTCATTTTCTTTTCCTTGATTAGACCTGCCAAAATACAATGGTTATAAATACTGGATCAAATCTGTTGCCTATTTTTAAATTTTTTAACTGCACTTACGCTGACTTTGCTGTTCCTGGTTTCTTCTCATACAGGCTTACTCACTCCTTCAACATACTCATTCTTTGTGACAGTCCCTGCATTGTTGGGCCCATGACTGAAACTTCCTTACTATATTAAATGGCATCACTTGCTCACTGAATTCAACTTGGGTGACCTTTGACAAGCTTGGCATCTCATTAATTTCCAAATTGCTTATAATTTCAGTTTTTGACTTCAAGCAGTGAAATTTTAAACACATACAAAAGTAGAAATATTAGAACTGAACCACCATGAACATTCTGCTTCAATAATTACCAACATCTTCCCAATCCAGGTGCCAGTTCTGTTGATTCCTTTTCTTTAGTTGAAACATTTTACAGCAAATCTGTATATTTAATTTCATAAATATGTAAGTATGTATCTCTAGCACATAGGATATTTTACTTCTAACAACCACCTTGACATCATCATCCCTTATCAAAATTAGTATTTCTTTTTAACATTTCTTCGCAGTGCTGGGATCAAACCCTTGTACATGCTAGGCAAGTGCCCTGAGTTACACCCCCAGCCCTTGATTTTTTGAGATAGGTTTGCACTTGTAGCCCAGGCTGGCCTTGAACTTGGAATCCTCCCATCTTGTCCTCCCAAGCGCTGGGATTATAGGTATGCACCACCATGCCTGGCTCCAAAAATTAATATTTGTAAATAGCATCTAATATTTGGTCCATATGCAAGCTTCCTTCACTACTTCCAAAATATCTTCTTCCATTTTATTCAAACAAAATTAATTCAGTTGATAAGTTGGGTTTTGTTTTCTTTTGAGACAGGGTCTTACTATGTAGCCCAGATCAGACTCAAACTCACAATCCTCCTGCCTCAGCCTTCCAAGTACTAGGATTACAGGGGTGCACCACCATGCCTGGCACTGGGACTTCTCTGAGGTCTCCATTATTATTAATGGTTGCCTCTCCTCTTTTCTCTTTCATACCACTCAGCTGATGAACACAGGTCATTTGTTCTGTAGAATATTACACACTCAGGACCTAATGGGTGGCTTCTTTGTGGTAACATTTACTTTATTCATCTATTCCCCCAAATTCTTGGTTTTAAAGAATTTGATTTAAAGGTATGATTCCTTCATTTCATTATTTCGGCAGTAAGGGTTCATAGTTGGTGGTCTGCACTTCCTACTGCATTGTAGCAGGAGGTAGGTATTAACAGTGTTAACTGTGTTTATTGAGAATAAAATTGATCAAAGGGGCGAAAAGTGGTCAGCTTGATGAATCCACTATAAAATCTTTCACCTAATAGTTTTAGTCTCCAGTGAAGATGGTTTCCTGAAGCCATTATTCTACGTGAGTCTAGAAAATGGTGATTTTTCTAATCCTATCACGTCATCATTTCTGTACTTACTGGCTTCACTTAAGTTTAAAATCACTTGAATCTGATGAACTTTTGGTGACCCTGAGTTTGGTTCACATGGGAAAGAGAAACAAATTCCCATGTTCATCCATGTTGATTTAACTGACCAAATTGTGTAGCCACAACCAAGGAAATTATCAAGCTCTTGGAGGGGTCATGTCAGAAGACCTAACTTGAAACACTGATTGAAAATGGTGGGCTGGCAGGGTGGCTCAAGTGGTAGGGTACCTGACTAGCAAGTGTGAGGCCTTGCATTCAAATCCCAATATCACAAAAAAAAAAAAAAAAAGAAAAGAAAATGGGGTAATCTGAACATCAAAAACTACACTGATTTTAATGGAATATTTTCTGTTTAAACTGGAGTTTTACATATGTATACATGTGAAATTAAACTACCTAGTGCCTAGTTTCTATTATACCATCTTTTTGAAAGCTTGTGATTAATCTTGAACTGTAGTCAAACAAGAGATTACAAGCGTTTTCTTTTTTCAATTTTGGGAAAATCATTTAATATCTAATTTGGGGGGTTTTTTGTGTGTTTGTTTTGGCAGTACTAAGGATTGAAGTCAGGCCTTGTGCTTGATAGGCAAGTGCTCTACCACTTGAGCCACACACTAGCCCTTAATCTTAGTTTTGATAGGGTCTCTCACTTTTGCCTAGCTGGCCTCAGACCACAATCCTCCTTCCTCTGATTCCCGAGTAGCTAAACTTACAGGTGTGTACGCCATGCCTGACCCTTCTCTTTGATTCTTCAAGAAAGTACTTCCTTTACGTTCTTGAAATTCATATTTTTTCTTGTCAGCATGAAATTTCGGCTGTAGCTCAAGCCATGAAAAACTTATGATATTCACTATAATTTTCTAGATTTAACCTAGAATAAACTATTTTCAGTTTAGTACATGATGTGATAGGAGGCATTTCTCAATTTATTACTTCTACAAAATCTTCTCAAGCATTCCCTAATACTAATGTAACAATTATAGACAATATTTACAGAATTCCTGCTACACGAGTGTTATTCTGCCAAGTATTAACTACTTAGTCTTTACCACAATTCTATTACACAGTATGACAAGCTTATTCTAAATTGGCCCCCAATGGTACCTGTCTCCTGGTATTTACTCTCATGTAATCTCTTTGTCTTGAGTGCAGGCTGGTCCAGTAATTTACTTCTAACCAGTAGAAAGTAGTAAAGATGATGAGATGTTACTTCCATAATTAGATTACTCAAGATTGTAACTTCCATCTTGCTAGCAGACTTTCGTTTTGCTGGGATCCATGTTCTTGGCTTCCACACTTTTATTAAGCAAGCAGATATGTTGAGAAGGTCAATCTGGCAAGAAACTGCAATCAGCCTTCAGCCAACAGCCATCTTGAAACTGAAGATCTCAATGCAAGCACCATCAAGGAAATAAATTCAGGTACCTGACCTGATAGCTTGTACATGGATACTTCCCCAGTTATATCTTCAAATGAAACTTCAGCCTTGACTGAAACTTCCTAACCTTATGACTACAATGACCCAACTAAAGTCATGTCTGAATCCCTGATCCATATAAATTTTGAGAAAATAAACATTATTTTAAGCTACTAAGGTTTTGTGGTAATTTATTATACAGCAATAAATAGTTAATACATGTAAGTACTATTATCACCATTTTCCAAGTGAGCAAAATGAGGCACAAAATTATCTTGTTCAATATCACAAAAGTAATTAAGTGGTAAAATGGAGATAATGATAGAAAAGACTAAAGATTTGCCTACATTCATTACATTATTCTCTCACAGGAATTTGCTGAAGATAAACAACATTTGAATGGTGACGGAAGGCTTGTAAAGCAACAGTCTTTTTGTAATATAAAATGTCATGCTTAGTTATAAACTGAAATAAAATTGTCTCAAAAATGGATTTCCTGACGTTTTACAACATAATGTACATGTGAAGATTTTTGTGTGTTAAACTCCATTATGAATCTTCTGATGCTGAGTAAGGTGTGAGTGCTGTCTAAAGGCTTTCTTGCATTCCTTACATTTGTAGGGTTTCTCACCAGTGTGAATTCTCTGGTGTTGAGTAAGAAATGAATAAAGTCTAAAAGCCTTGCCACACTCCTTACAGTCATAGGGTTTCTCCCCAGTGTGAATGCTCTGATGCTGAGTGAGCTGTGAGAGCAGTCTGAAAGGTTTTCTACACTCCTTACATTCGTAAGGCTTCTCCCCAGTGTGAATGCTCTGGTGCTGGTAAGCTGTGAGAGCAGTCTGAAGGCCTTCCCACACTCTTCACATTCATAGGGTCTCTCTCCAACGTGAATGCTCTGGTGTGAAATAAGCTGTGAGTAACTGCTAAAGGTCTTCCAACACTCCATGCACTCATAGGGTTTCTCACGTGTGTGAATTCTCTGATGGCGAACAAGCTGTTGCCTTAATCTAAAGGCCTTTCCACACTCCTTACACTCATAGGGCTTCTCACCAGTGTGAATACTCTGATGGACAGTCAGCTGCTGACATATTCTGAATGCCTTCCCACACTCCTTACACGCATAGGGCTTCTCACCAAAATGGATCTTCTGATGCACTCGGAGGTCTGGCCCACATACGAACGCCTTCCCGCACTCCTTACATTCGTAGAGCTTCTCAGAAGTATGAAGCCTCTGATGCCGCGTGAGGTGTGTACACTGCCGAAACGCCTTCCCGCACTCCTTACATTCGTAGGGCTTCTCGCCCGTGTGGATCCTCTGGTGCCGAGCCAGCTGTTGGTGAACTCTAAAGGCCTTTCCACATTCCTTGCACTCATAAGGTTTTTCACCAGTGTGAAGTCTCTGATGCTGAGTAAGTTCTTGGAGCACTGTAAAGGCCTTCCCACATTCCTTACAGTCATAGGGCTTCTCACCAGTGTGAAGTTTGTGATGTCTGATAAGGTGTGCACGCTGTCTGAAGGCCTGCCCACACACCTTACATTGATAAGGTTTCTCACCAGTGTGGATTCTCAGATGCTGACTAAGTGTTGAGCGACGAATAAAGGTCTTCCTACATTCCTTACATTCATATAGTTTTTCTCCAGTATGGACTCTCTGATACTCAGTAAGAAAATTGTCCTTCTTATAAGTGCTCATTTTTTCAGAGGGAATTTTCACCTGCCCAAAATAATTCTCTTGAGGCTCTTTTTGCCCCTCAATCTTGCTTTTGCATTCCCAGTCAGTTCTAAAAATGGAGCCCTGAAGGCTATAGTTTTTAATTCTTTCCATTATCTCCCACTGCAATGAATATATTTCATAAATGTCCTTTTCTGGAGATGAAGTATTGGTTCTGTATCTGGACTCCAAATCTGAAAGAAAGCAAGAAACAAACGTGCTGTTTTCTCACTCCACAAGAAAGAAAACTTCTATAAACACAAGGACTCTCAAATAATACCTATTATGTGTGATGGACCGGATCTCTCTCAAGCAGAGGCATTTCTGCTACAATATCATATACATACACCTAAAAACCCTTGTCGTCTACAAAATTACACACCAAAAATAACTGAGTTCGTGGCTGGAGTAGGCCAACTACATGCAATTTTATTAGTAGAGCATTAACAAACATAATAGCAGCTGTCTCAAGGGGTTGAGGTCACTTCATGGGTATTAAAATGCACAGAAATTATGCTGAAATTCAGGGTTTGAGGTACTATGACACTGCATGTAGAAATAAAGCCCTGAACTGAGTGTGGTGCTGTGAGCCTACAGTCCCAGCTACAAGGGAGGCTGAGGCAGAAGAATCATTTGAGCCTAGGAGTTCAAAGTCAGCCCAGACAATATAGTAAAGATTAGCAAAACTTGAGAAAGCTCCTAAACCAAATTACATTTATAATGGCCTAAAACATTAAAAAGAAAAGTCTCTGAAGTTATTTTGAGTATAAAAATAGAACAAAAACCTAGTGAAGGAAAACTATATGCCATACTCCTTACGAAAAATCATGCCAAACTCCTACAGCACACTTGAAAGAAAGTGGTAATAACTTTGGTAATAACATAACTAAGCTGGCTTTTAGGGATGCAAAGGTAGTCAGTACTAGGAAATGTACAAAAAGAATTCCATCATTAATTACTCTAAAAACCAAAATCACATGATCATTTCCATAGGCTCCAGGAAGGTCTCTGGCATAGTACAGTATTCTTCTGTTGTTGTTGTCTTGAGACACGGTCTCACTATGTAGCTCAGGCTGGTCTTGAATTCTCAGTCCTCCTGCCTGAGCCTACCAAGTGATGGGATTATGGTATGCACACACAACCAGCGAGTATTGTTTATTTTTTTCAAAAATACACCAAGGGCTGGCAGAGTGGCTCAAGTGGTCAAGTGCCTGCCTAGCAAATGTGAGGCCCTGAGTTCAAACTCCAGTGCCACCAAAAACAAAGTACACCAAAAAAGACTATATGGTTACTCCTTAACATAATTTTAGAAAAATAAAATTCTTAGCTGAAAAGCTAAATTTAACTTAGTGAGGGAACACTGGGAGCGTGAGCAGAGTCAAATTTGGTTGTGGTAGCAGTAATACATAGATGTCTTTGTTAAAATGCCTAGAACTCACCACTAGACAGTGAATTACAATGTACTCATTAATAAACTAGACTTTAAAAAGTATTTTAGCCAGGCACTGGTGGCTCACACCTGTAATCTTAGCTACTTGGGAAGCTGAGATCAGGAGGATCACAGCTCGAGACCAACCTGGGCAAACAGTTCTCAAGACCCTATCCCCAAAGTAACTACAGCAAAATGCAGGTGAGAAGCCCCAAGTTCAAACCCCATTCTCACCAAAAAAATTTGAAAAAGCATTTTAAAAATATAGTCACAAAAAAAGATGTCAATTCTCATGTTCCATGAAGTTAATTGATAAAAAGTATGCTATTCTTAAATGGGAAATCTGTGTTTCTATTCAATTTTGGAAATGAAATTTTATTAAAATGAAGTATTTTTAAAAAGCACAAGTTTCTTGTCCTCTGAGTACCCATATTCTACTGTTTTTGATACTCCGAAGTATTTAGTTATGAATTCAAAAGTACTTTTTCTCTCTGTCCATACTTACTTCTAAAAACTCAACTTATAAAAGCTTTCTTTAGTTTGCAGGTTACTACCTTGAGTAGAAAAAGTTTTTCCATATGGGAAAGTAAATAATCATAAGAAGTCTAGAAAAGGGCTGGTGGAGTGGCTCAAGCAGTGTGAGCACCTGCCTAGCAAGCATGAGGCCTTGAGTTCAAACCCCAGTGCCACCAAAAAAAAGAATGTGAAAACTATTTAAATGGTACATAGCAGGCAGGCACTGGTGGCTCATGCCTGTAATACCATAATACTAGCTACTCAGGAGGCAGAGATCAGGAGGATCCAAGACCCTATCTTGAAAAAAACCCATCACAAAAAAAAAAAATGGCTAGTGGAGTGGCTCAAGGTGTAGGTCTTGAGTTCAATCCCCCATACCACAACAAAAAGGGAGGGAGGCAGGGAGGGAGGGAAGGAGGAAGGAAGGAGGGAAGGGAGCGAGGGAGGGAGGGAGGAAGGAAGGAAGGAAGGGAGGAAGGAAGGAAGGGAGGAAGGAAGGGAGGGAGGGAGAAATCTGGAAAAGCTTCAGTTGGAGCTGGCTCAAGTGGTAAGAGTGCCCTAGCAAGTATGGTGCTCTGAGTTCAAACCCCAATACCACCAATAAATAAATTAAAAAAAAATTAAAAAGTGTCAGTAATTAAAACATGATGTTGCTGGCAAAAGCACTGATAAAAACATTAAACTGTTTTCAGTAAACATACCACTAATAACAGTGTTAGTGCTCTTATTCTAAGACTCAAGTATCTATGTATAAGATGTGTATTAGAATAAAGTAAATTAGTAAGTAGGTAAATTTCATAGAACCTGTATGGGCAAAATGCTTAACACACTCATATGTTAAAGTCCTAAACACCAATGTTTGTAAGTGGGTCTTTGGGAAGTAAATAGATTAGATGAAGTTATGAGAGTGGAGTCCTCATGGAGTGATCAGTACACTTATAAAACCACAAAGAGCTAGTGGTATAATTCAGGGTAGAGTGCTTACCTAGCACATGAGAGGCTCTGGATTTCATCCCTAGCACTGCATAGACAGATGGATAGATAGATAGATAGACAGACAGACAGATAGACAAAGAAAGACCAGAGCTTGCTCTTTTTAAGCCATGTGAGGAGACAGCAAAGCAGGCAGCCATTCAAGGCCAAGAAGCGACCCTCACTAGAACCTGACGATGCTGGTACTTTCATCTTGGACTTCTTGCCTCTACAGCTGTGAGAAAATAAGTACTGGTTGTTTAAGCCACCAGACGAGGTATTTTGAGACAACCTATACAGATTTAAAGACAATAGAAGATAAATAATCCTTTTCTTTGCAAATCCTTTACTCATCCCATCCTCAACATCATTTTTACTTTTTTATTTTGAAATAACTATAGATTCATAGGAAGTTGCACAGAATATATAGAAAAGTCCCATTGACCTTCATCCCGCCATTCCAATGTTAACATCAATGCAACCACAGTACAATATTCAAATCACGAAATTAACACTGGTATAGTTCATACAGCTCAGATTTCACCAATTACACGTGCATTCACGTACACATCCAAGCACAAGGCTTGATGCAATTTCATCACGTGTAGCCTTGCATAACCACCACCGTAGTCAAGATACTCAAACAAAGTTCACCCGTATCACTCTTCTACAGCCCTGGCCATTTTTCCACTCCCTCCATTGTTGACAACCACTATTTTATTTCCCATCTCTGTGTTAATTCACAAATATTATGCCAGTGCAGTCAAGCAGTATGCGAACTTGATTTTTTTTTTTGTTCAGTATATCTTTGAGGTTCCCCCAAGGTGTGTCTACCAAGAGTTTATTACTTATACATATGGATGGACTTTTTACCCATCTTTTAATTGGGCTATCTATCATTTTAATGTTGAATTGTAGTATATAAATATCAGATATATTTTATTGTTTTCTCCGGTCTGTGGCTTACCTGTTTGTTTTCTTAATGATATATTCTGCTGAGACAAAGTTTTTAATTTGGATAAGGTCTGATTTTTTGTTTTGTTTTGTTTCTGAGACAGGGTCTTGCTGTGTTGCCCAGGCTGGCCTCACGTAATCCTGCCTCAGTCTTCCAAGTATCTGGGATTACATTTAATACCACCATGACCAGCTAACAATTTTTTTTGTCTTTTTTTTGTTTATTATTTTCACTCAAGAAACCTTGGCCCATTCCCAAATCATGAGCTGGGACTCCCAAGCCATTGTCCTATATTCTCCTATAAAAGCCAAATTAATTTTGGTATGAGGTAAATATTGAGAAGTTTTTTTTTCCCAAGTATTTCAGTTTCTTGAAAAGCCTTTCCTTTCTCAATTAGAATGCTTTGGTGCCTTTGTCTAAAATAAACAACTCTTTTTTTCATGTTGGGGGCGCAAGGGAGGTGAGCTTACTTGTTGATCCTTATCCCAATAGTACACTGTCTTTGTTCTTGCAGTTTCATAATAAATCTGAAATATTTTGAAGGCTACATCATCTAAGACCTATAATGAGTCCTTCCACCTTCTAGATTACTATTAGACATGCTCAGTACTTTGCTTTTCCATGTAAACTTAGAATCAGCTTAATTTCTACCCAAGAGAAGCCTTCTAGGATTGTGATTAAAACTGTGTTAAGTATGTAAAACTGACACACAAAAGTGTCGCTCCACTTACTTAGAACCTCAATTTCTTTTATCAGTGTGTCATGATTTCCACCGTAGAGACCTTGCATGTTTTATCAAATTTATTCATTTAGAATTTTTTTGATACTATTATAAATTGAGTTAATTCAGTCCCAGTATATAAAATAATTTTTTATATTAATCTTAAGCCCTATGATGTTACTTTCATATTAACACTTTGAATAGCTCTTCTTTTGACTCCTTAGGATTTTCTATGTACACAGTCATACCTTTTACTTTCACTTCTTCCTTGTTGATCATTTCTTTTTCTTACCTTATTGCACTGGTGAGACTTTCAGTTTTATGTTAAAAAGATGTGAGGTGGCGGGCAGAGTGGCTCAAATGGTTGAGCGCCTGCCAAGCAAGCATGAGGACCTGAGTTCAAACCCCATTACTACCAAAAAAGAAAGAAAGAAAGAAAGAAAACGATGTGGAAGGAGTAGGCTTTTTCACCTTGTTACCAATATTAGAGGGAAATTCTTCAATCAAGTATCATGACATTCATTAATGTGGTATTGATCTTAGCAGAAGGTCTTTCTCAGGTTAAGAAAGTTTCCTTTGATTTCTAGTTTGCTGAAAGTCTTTATTAGAAATGGATGTTGAATTTTGTCATGTGGTATTTTTATATCAACGGAGATAATCATCTGGTTCCTTATTTTTTCTTTTAATATGATTAAGTACATTGATCAATTTCTGAATGCAAAAGACCAAGCTTGCATGAAAAAGGGCTAAAGCCACTTGATCATCATTTTGAACTGCCAATATTTCATTAAGAACTTTACACCTATACACATAAATATGGATTTACAAATTTTTTTGAAAATTTCTTTGTCAAGTTATGATATGAGTTATATCGGCCTTATAAAGTGAGTTAAGAGGTGTTCCTTTCCTTTCTGAAAAAAATTGTGTTAATAAAGCTATTGCTTCCTTAATAGAATTCACCAACTAATCCATCAGGGGCTAGCATTTTCTTTATGAGAAAGTTTTGATAATGAATCCAATTACTTTAACATAAAAGTTATGTGTTGTCTTTTTTTATCTTATGTCATGACATTCTGATAAGTTGTATTTTTTCAAGGAAATTTCCCATTTCCTTTAAGCTGTCAAATTTATTGACAGGAAATTCTCTTATTATTATTTTTGTGTGTGTGTGTGTGTATATGTGGTACTGGGGCTTGAACCAGTACCCCCTCTTTCATTCCTAATATTATATTACTTTATCTTGATTACTCAAACTAGGCGTTCACTATCTTTGTTGATATTTTCAAGAAATCAGTTTGTTTTTTAATTTTTTTTCTTTTTTTTTTGGTGGTACTGGGGTTTGAACTCAGAGCCTCATGCTTGCTAGGCCGGCGCTCTGTCACTTAAGCTACACCACCAGCCCTAAGAAATCAGTTTTTGGCCTTAATAACTTTCTCTTCTTTTTCTGTTTTGTTGATTTCTACAGTTAGTTACATTTGGGGGATCTGAACTCAGGGCCTCACAGAGTAAGCATTCTACTACTTGAGCCATGCCACTGGCCCGTTTTTGCTTTGTTATTTTTCAGATGGGGTCTCATACTTTTTGCCAGGTGTTGGCCCTGGACCACAGTCCCCCTACTTCATCCTCTCTCATCACTCAGATTTACAGGGATGTGCCACCATGCCTAGTTATATTATCTTTTTTTCTCCCTTCAACTGAAAACAGCTTCTCTCCTTGAAGAAGAAGGGATATATGGCAGGTGAGAAACACTGTAATCAAGGTTAATAGACAATTAGTTTGCTACTTTAGACACAAAAGATCTTAATTTGCTTCAGGTCTTAAGCCTTTTCCTCACAGGCCACAGGGTTTTGAGGCAAGATCCCAAAACTTCTCAAGGATTTACCTCCACCCTAGTCTGCTTGCTACTGCTGCAGTAATGATCCTCCATTCCTGCTTGGCCCTCACTCACCAGCACAGTGTCTTCCTGTCCCTTCTTTCACAGCCATCCCAGGTTCCTTCCCTTCTTCATCCAGTAAGATGCTCACATCTGGTTTAGAAATGGAAGGTCCTGCTTTAAAGAAGAATGTCACATGAAATTATAAATCTGAAAGTTTTTACATTCAGATTTGGCCATATTTATAATTAAATATAAATCAAAATGGCACGTTGTAAAGCCTAAGATCAAATAAATGCAAGGGAGTTGAAGAACACCAATTTCAGGGTAACCTCAGGACCACAAGAAATAGGCACCAGATTATTAAGAACAGATCTTAATACAACTTAAACTTACACAGGCTGGTGAGAGGCTGAGCACACAAGAGTCAGGATCCAAACTGCCAGGCTTCAAATCCTGTCTGTTACTGCCTCCATTACTCAGTAAATTACTAACCTATTCTGCCTAAGTTTTTGCCTCTGAAATATGAGTAACAATAGTATCTTTCTCAAAGAGTTGTGAGGATTAATTAACAATGTACAAAGCTCACACATAAAATTATATGCTTACATACATATGTATGAATTAGCTATTCATTTTTATTGTTATCTTTGTGCTGAAAGGGTAATAAGAGGCTTTCTGAAACATTTTCAGGTCCTTTCTAGGAGATTCATTCAATATTAAATACACAGTTTTTAGATTTCAACTTTTAAGCACCCTTGGATACTAAAGAAACTAATTACAGAATCTAAAGAAAGTATGAAGGAAAAGAACAGGTTGAGAATGGGTATTAATGGAGGGGCCTGTTCCTAACCCAACAATACCTAAACCATTCTTTTTGGGAACAGAGAGTAAAAATTCAGCTGATTTCTCAAAAGCTAGTCCTGAAATTAATACTAGAGAAAGCTAATATCCTTTGGGATAAAGAGCCATACCTAGTGAGATGAAGTTGCTGTAGTTCTCCCACATCACATCCCTGTATAAGTCCTTCTGAGCAGAATTCAGGAATTCCCATTCTTCCTGGGAGAAGTCTATGGCCACGTCTCTGAATGTCACTGACTCCTGAAAAAATAAAATCATGTGTTACTTGCAAAAATAAATTAAACATTTTCTTAAATGGAAAGAGAAAAGACTGAGGATTACATTGCAGAGTGGGAACTACCTAGCATGCAAACAGCATAGGGCTAAAAACTTAGGACAACAAAAAAATTTAGTATCTCAGAAGCAGAATGCCTACATGCTCCTGTGGCTACAGATAGAATTTTATCCAAACATATCTGGAAATGAATAAAGTAACAAAAAATACAGTTAAGTCAAACAATGCACACAAGCCTTCTGTATACTATGTGTCTCCACCATAAATTATAAAGAAATATTAGGGCTTCTGCCTTTAATGATGATGAAAAAAACTGACAACTTCTCCCAGATGTACAAAATCTCCAAAAAGATAAGACTCAAGGAAGATTTTATTATAAATTTTCCTTGCTACAACTAACTTTTTAGTTAATTTTTTAAAAGTTACTACACTGTAGTCCTTATTTTTAATATATTAGATTCCTTTTTAAAACTTAGATGTTTGAAGGGTTGGGGGTGCGGTTCAAGTGGCACAGGACCTGCCTAGGGAAGTGCAAGGCCCTGCGTTCAAACCCCAGTACTGCAAAAAAATACTTAGAATTCAGCACAATCTCAAAATGTTCCCTAATTCTTACTGTCTCTAATATCTAACACTGGTGCACGTGAATAATCTTCTTACTTCTTAATGCTCTATCACCCCTCGTTGTACATCTTTTCTTATTCCTGAGTTACAGGACACTAAATCATGAGACACTGTAAGGAGAGCAGCCTGGTCTAGTGGTTTTCAACAAGGAGTGATTCTGTTCCCCAGAAGACATTGGTCATATCTGGAGACAATTTTGGTTGTCACATCTGGGGGGAAAGGGATGCAAGTATTACAGGCACCTAATGGATAAAAGCAAAGGACATTATTAGACATCCTATATCCAGGACAGTCTACTACAGTGAAGGATTCTCTGGCTCAAAGTGTCAGTAGTTCCAAGGTTGAGAAATCTCGCTCTAAACCAGTGCATCTTGTAAAAATACACATTGGACTTTGTTCTTGATACTAATCTCTCTGGGAGAAAATCACCAGAGATGATTTTTTTTTTTTTTTGAGACCAGGCTTGTCTTGATTTGCAATCTTCCTGCCTCAGTCTCCCAAATGCTGGGGATTATAGGCGCATACCACCACACACAGCTAGAGAAAATTCTTGATCTTTCTATTTGCATTCCTATTCTGATCACCTTACTATTGGTGAGGGAGCAATCTTCTACCCTAAAAAGCACTAGATAGCCAAGAGCAGACTCTGGATAGAGGAGACTGATGGCCATTTATTAGTCACATACACTCACAGTCATTCAGGGCCACAAGGGGCTGTACTTGGGAACAGAGAGAACAGGGGCCATGGGAAATAAGCTTTGAAAGAGGATGAGGGGTTCCCTGGCTCCCACAGGAGGATGGACTGACTTGTTTGAGTAAGCCCATGGGCTGCCAAGGAGGTGAAACCTTTAGGTTGAGGACTACGAAGGATGTAACTGCTCTAGCTGACAAGGGAATTAGCTGAGAAGGAAGCCTTTTCCACTGGAGAAGGAGATATATCTGGTAAGAGCAGGGAAATTCAGGGTTAGGCCTCTGGACCTTGACAAAGATGTCGAAGAGGTACATGAAATTTTAGGCCTTACCATATAAGGCTGCAATTACAGCCCTACCTAACCCACCCAATCCTACCCTACATAGTATAAATCTCAACACATACAGGAACTGAGACCTGTCAACACTAAATCCCCTCTCATATACTTAAAAAAGAAAACTCGTATCTGTGGAAAAGTTTAGGCTTTTCCCTATAAGAAATCAAATAGGACCAATTCTCTTTCACCAAACCACAGATCTTCAAGGAAAGCTCAAAACAGGGACTTCCCACTTAACACCTGTAATTCTGTTCTTAAAACTAGACATTATAATGCAGAATGTAGTATTAATGTAGTATTTTCCCCTCATTTTAAATTAGGGAATTATAATGCATTCTATATTCATTTCAACCCTCTAACTAGCTTCCCAACATTTCCTTCCAGATAGAATTTTAGTACACACTGGGTTAGTATGCACACATCATTGTCTCTACTGTTTGCATTGTCTCTTTTGCTCAATTCATTTTTCTTACTTGCTTTGCATCCTTCTCTACAATATTTTCCAATACCCTAAACCTTTTAGTATTTCATTTTACATAGACAGAAATATGTGAGGTACACTATGGAAAAGTGTTTCCAACAAGAAGGCAAAGGCAGGAATGGCAAGCATTCACGAGGATGCTCTGATGCCTCCTTTGTCACCAACTGCACGTCCTCTTTTTTTTTTTCCCTTTTTCTGCAGGGCTAGAGGTGGAACCCACGACCTTGCACATGCCAGGGAAGTGCTCTACCTCTGAGCTACATCTCCCTTTAATGTTCTGACAGTCTAGCAACTGTATTTGGAATATAACTAGACTCTTCCTGGATGTTGCTTTTGTTAAAAATAAGGTTGCACTGAACTATATGATTCAAAAAAATTAAAGCTGGGCATGGTGACACATGCCTGTAATTCTAACACTTGGGAGTCCGAGACAGGAGGATCTGGAGTTCAAGGTGAGTCTGGGCTACACAGCAAGACTCTGTCTCAAAAACAGAAGTTAGTTTTAACTAAAAGAGAGAGGCAAAGACAGAGAGAGGGAAAAAAGAGAAGAGAAAGAAAAGGAAAAAGTTTTAAAAGTAGGAAAAATTAATTTTCAGTGTTTGAAGTCGGGACAGTGGTTACACGTGAGCTGTTTAGGTGAGCAGTGACTAGAATGGGAACATTTGAGGTGCTAGTAATATTCCTCTTTTTTTTTTTTTTGGCGGTACTGGGGTTTGTACTTAGGGCCTACACCTTGAGCCATTCCACCAGCCCTTTTCTTGGTTATGCTTGTGTTAGTTATTTTCAAGATAGGTTCTCATGAACTATTTGCCTGAGCTGGTTTCAAACCACAATCTTCCTGATCTCTGCCTCCTGAGTAGCTAGGATTACAGGCATAGCCACGGCGCCCAGCAGTAATACTCCTTTCTTGACCTGGCAGCCTAGATGTATTCAATCTATGAAAGTGTACCCAGCTGTATACTTATAATATCTCTACTTTTCTGTACATATACCATGCCCAGTAAAATATTCAAAAAAAAAAACTTTTGAAAATACTATATTGTATACTGGGGACATAATTTTTTCTATATAAAACTGAACCAAAAATCATTGGATTGAGAGAAATGTATTTTTTCGGGAGTTTAAGTATTAAAATAAAAAACTGCTCCTTTGGAAAATGTTAACATAAGGATGCTCTGCAGAGAATATCTGCATGTCCCTCAGGGCGTTTCACTTCTGTTCCCAAACAGCTCCTGTCAGTTTCTGTAGATGGAAGATGGTCAACATTAGTGGAAGGGAAGGTACACAGAACAACAGACTACATGTGCCCAGTCCTCTCAGGAATAAGATCCAAGCAGGTTCTTGGATGGATTTCTGCTAAACCAGAAGGTTCAGGAAAAGGAATGAATCTGTATGCTGTCATCTAGAAACTGACAGTTGTTCAAACAGGAAAGCGATGCCGGGAGCAGTGGTGTGTACCTGTAAGCCTAGTACTCAGGAGGCTGAGACCAGGAAGATCGCGAGCTTCAGGCCAGTTGGGCTACAAAGCAAGATCCTGTCTCAATAAAAAGAAAAGAAGTCGGGAGCCAGTGGCTCACGCCTGTAATCCTAGCTATTCAGGAGGATCATGGTTCAAAGCCAGCCTAGGCAAATAGTTCACGAGACCCTATCTTGAAAAAACCCATCACAAAAAAGGACTCAAGGTGTAGGCCCTGAGTTTAAGCCCCAGTACCAAAAGAAAAAAGAAGAAAAAATAAATTAAAAAAAAAAAGAGAGAAGCATTAACTTACACGGGCCATGGTTCTGGCACTTCAAGAACTGATCAGTCCTTTTCAATATTTCCTTGTTGGAAAAGTGCAGGTTCCCGACAAGCCAAAGCTGGAAGAATAAAAAGAAGCCATGAGAGATGTATCTCAGAGCTTCCCAAATAATTTATGGTTAATAGGAGTATTTTTTTCCCTCGGCATTCCTGCTTTCAAATCACTTCCCCACTCATAGGCTCACACCTATCCTATACCCACAGAGAACTGGAGGAAAGTGGGGGAAGTGTTGAAGAATCCAGTTGGGCAATGATGGATGTGTACATAGGAGCCCAGATAACTCTGCAGGAGGATTTCTGACCAAGTCTCCATCTGGCAACATGTATCTGGTCCTGATATTGGACCAGAGCTTCCTAAACACACAGATTTTAAAAAAAATACAGATTAGGTCTTGATACTGTCTTTTTATAGCCAGGGCATCTCAAAATCTCAGTTTCACAATCAGGACATCTGATCTCATGATGCACTTTTGGTATGCAAGCTGGGGAAGAGTAGACCCATGACCCCCGCAGTTGGTCAACATTCACCAAGAATCTACCTGTGGTGGATTTTTTACATGCACTTGTCAACCAATCCTCAGCACTGTTACACAAGGTAGTTCTCTGCTTTCAACACACTGATTCTCAGAAGTCAAATCAGTTAAATGGCAGGTGTTTGTTTTAACTAACTAAAAGCCAATTCTCTGTCACCTTAGGGTTTTGGCTCTGAAGGGTGGCATTTCTGCTTCACTGAGAGAAACGTGAGCATAAGCAGTCCACTAAAAAGAGAAATAACCAACACCCTTTCAAAAAATACTAAAGCTCAGAAGATGGACAGGCAGGTATCTGCAGCAATCATCCCTCTGCAGAAACATCAATTTGAACAACTATCTACAAATGAAAATACCTTCACAAGTGCTAAGGAAACCAGATCAGCATCACAAGAAAAGACACATGGAACCAGGCACTGATGGCTCACACCTGTAATCCTAACTACTCAGGAGGCAGAGATAAGGAGGATTGTGGTTCAAAGTCAGCCTGGGCAAACAGTTCTACAAGACCCCATCTCGAAAAAAAAAAAAAAACACAAAAACAGGGCTAGTGGAGTAGCTCAAGGAGTAGGCCCTGAGTTCAAGTTCTAGCACCACAAAAAAAAAAAAAAAAAGGAAAGATGTGGAAAAGGATAGTTTTACAAAGCCTATGTTACCCTTTCCCAACTCTAAACAAAACAGCACAAAGAAACAGTCCAACTGGGGAAAGTGGGGACAGGAGTGTTAATAAGAACAGATCTTTGCCTTGGTCCTTAACACCAGGCCCACAACAGCAAAACTCAGCACTGGTCAGATCTCAACAACCCCAGACTCCAGGCCAGTACCCACAGACTGTGCCTCTAAACTCCTCCTGGTGCCAGGTGGGTCCCCAGAGCCTCAGTCTTCAGGCTTGCACAGTGAATTTGATCTCTAGCCAGTGCTAACTGGGCCAACATCAGTGGTCCCGAGCCTTGAGCATCCCTTAGCAGCAGGCAGAACTCAGAGCAGTAACAGAAAAACTTTCAAACCTGGAGAAAGCTGGAAATATCCAGGTATAGAAGGTCAAAGTTACTGATCAGATTCAATCCAAACAAGACTACCATTAGAAATTATAATCAAACTACCAAAAAGCAAAGGCACAGAGAAGCTCTTGAAAACAGCAAAAGAAAAGAAGCAAATAACATATAAGGGAGTTTCAGTATGGCTAGTGGCAGATTTCTGAGCACAACTTTACAGACCAGGAGAGAATGGATGATGATATTTAATGCAAGAGAACAAACAAAACAAAACAAAAAAACTGCAAACCAAGAATACTGCACCCACAATTGCTGTCTCTCGAAATGAAAGAGAGATAAAGACTTTCCCATATAAAAGCTGAGGGAGTTCGTCACCTTCAGATCTGGCTAGTGAGTAACACAAAAACATCTGAAAGTATAAAAACCCACTGGTATAACAATAAAGTCAAATTCAGAATACTCCAATACTTTATTGGTAGTTGTAAATTATCTTCCCCAGGTTAAAAGACAAAACTATTAAAATGATAAACTGAAATAATCTGTTAATGGATATACAAATTATGACATCAAAAATTTTAAATGGGGGTCAGCGTAAAAGTACAGAGTTTTGGGGACAGAATTGTGATCAAGGTTATCAACTTCAGGCTAACCACAAAAGAAGAACCTATTATAGAGCTACAAAAAATAAAAAGCAAGGAATCAAAACACACCAAGAGAGAAAAATCATTTAATCACAAAGGAAGGCAGGAAGCACAAAAGAGCCACAAATCAAGAAAAAGCAATTTAAAAAATGGCAATAAATCTTTACCTGTCAATAATTACCTTAAATATAAATGGATTATATTTTTCATCAAAAGACACAAAATGGCTGAGTGAATTTTAAAAAATCTCAACTATATATTGCCTATAAGAGATTTACTTCACACACATAAGCTAAAAATGATGGCAAGAAAAAAGATATCCCAGGCAAGTGGAAACTAGAAGAGCAGGAGGAGCAATACCTCTATTAGATGAAATAGACTTTAAATAAAAAATTATAAAAAGAGACATATGATGATAAAAGTTTCAATTCAGCAAGAATATATAATAATTTAAAACATATGCACACACACTGGCATGTCTAAATCAATTAACATATCTGAAGAGAGACAGACTGCAATACAGTAATAGTAGGAGACTTCAACACCCAGTTTTAGGCATGAATAGATAATCCAAGCAGGAAACCAGTAAGAAGACATTGGACTTAAAACTACACTCTAAACCAGAGGGACCTAACAGACATCCAACACTACAGAATATACACTCTTCTCAAATGCACATGAAACATCCTCCAAAGACAGATCATATGTTAATCCACAAAACATTCTCCTGAACAATCAATGAGTCAATAAGAAATTAAAAGGGAAAATTAAGAATTTTTGAGAAAATGAAAATTGTAAGACAACATACCAAATCTATCAGAAGTAGTTCCAAGAGGTAAGTTTAGAGCAATAAATGCCTACATCAAAGGAAGAAAGAAAAGCTGGGCCCAGTGACTCATGCCTGCAATCCTAGCTACTCAGGAGAATCATGGTTCAAAGTCTACCCCAGGCAAATAGTTGTGAGACTCTATCTCAAAAATACCCAACACAAAAACAGTGCTGGCAGAATGGCTCAAGTGGTAGAGTGCCTGCCTAGGGAGAGTGAGGCCCTGAGTTCAAACTCCAGTACTGTCAAAAAAAAAAAGAGAAGAAGAAGAAAAAAAAAAAAAAAAAAAGCTAGGCACCTGTGACTCACACTACTCAGGAGGCAGAGATCAGGAGGACTGTGGTTTGAAGCCAGCTGAGGCAAATAGTTCATGAGACCCTATCTTGAAAATACCAAATACAAAAAAGGTCTGGAGGAGTGGCTCAAGTGGTAGAGCACCTGCTTAGCAAGCATGAAGTCCTGAGTTCAAACTCCAGTACTGCAAAAAAAAAAGAAGAAGAAAGATATAAGTGGTTCACACATATAATCCCAGTTACTTGTAAAACAGAGATCTCAATTTTCAAGGCCAGCTGAGGCAAAATGTTAGCAAGACCCCCCCCCTTCCATCTCAACAAAATAAAATGCAATCCCAACTATGAGGGAAGATTGTAGAAAGACTATGGTTCAAGGCCAGAACCTATCTGAAAACTAAAGCAAAAAAGGGCTGGAGGTGTAGCTCAAGTGGTAAAGCACCTGTCTGGCAAGCATGAGGCACTGAGTTCAAACCCTAGTATCACCAAAAAAAGAAAGAAAAGAAATATCTTTATAATGTTGAACCTCAAGGAATTAGAAAAACAAGAATAAACTAAGATAAAATCTGTAGATGGAAGGGAAATAAAGACCAAATCAGAAATAAATGAAATTGAGACTAGAAAAAGGGGGAAAAAAATCTCAAGATGCAAGAGTTTTTGAACTCTTACACTATTTAGGCTAAGAAAGAAAAGAGAAGCTTCAAAATGAGAAATGAAAAAAGAGACATTGCAACTGACACTTACAAAGAATCGTAACAGACTATTATGAACAACTATACAACTGTGGGTAGAACATGCAACCTGGCAAGATAAAATCATGAAGAATGTTATCACAGAAACATTAACTATGTGAGGTAATGAATATGTTAATTAGGAAGATTTAATCACTTCACAATGTATGTACTTCAAAACATCAAAATGCACACAATTTCATCTGTCAATTAAAATTTTTGCCTGTAGAGTAGCTGGGATTACAACTATATGCTACCACTCCAGCTTTTTTCCTGTGCTAGGAATAGAACCCAGGGCTTCCTGAATGCTAGGCAAGCACTCTACTACTGAGCTAATCCCCCAGCCCTAAGTTTTACAAAATCAGTTCATCTACTTTGCAATTCTATACAAACTACCGTTATCTTCATATTACAGATGATGGAACTGTAGAACATAGATGAAATAAACTGCCACGAACTCACCCAATTCTAGGTGGCAGGTTTAAGATTAGAGCCCTTGTAATTTACACGTTAATCCATCACTATATTAAGCTGTCTCCCACAAGTCCACATAAACCAATGGCCTGAAACAAACTCACACTGTCAACTTATGACCTTCCTTTCAAGAATCTCTTCCCTGTCAACACAGACCTCTCCACTAAAACAGCTATCACATTACCACTCCTTTCAAGACTCAAAAGCTTATCATCAAACCATTTCCTATCTTTCCCCGCTTTGAACTTGACAGTGGAAATCAAAGATGTCTAGTGCATAAGTCCATCTAAAACGAAGTCTCCTCTCCAAATTACATGCTAAAATAAAATTGCAGTTAGCTTCTCTTGAGGTGGTACCTGTAGACCCATTGGTTGTTCAGGTGAATGTTAATTTACATGTATTTGTTAAATTTCTGAAATTCTTCCTTTAATTGATTTCTAACTTTATACTACTGTGATTTTAACAATACTTGAAAATTTTCAGTCTTTTTTTTCATTTGGTGGTACTGGGGTTTGAACTCAGGGCTTCACACTTACTAGACAGGTGCTCTGCCTCTTTAGCCACACCACCAGCCCAGTTTCAGTCTACTTAAATGTTTTAGGGCTTGTTTTGTGGC